ATGAGATTGAGTTTCTTGAGTGGGATGCAGTTGTTAGCAATTAGTGTCTCACAAAATTTAGTTTGGTAATTAACACCATGTTCTAGGAAACTTCTGTTTCTGGACTGCTTCAATCATCCCTTTTTTGTGGTTGAATAGAGGAAGTGGTTGTCATATCAACAATATATCATTTAAGATTCAAGGACAGGTGTATGAGGATGTCATGTATAGTATGCTGGGGTTTTGTTTTTATTTCATTATTTACCAAAATGGCCAATGGCAGTCTGCTGGCAACTAATGAAAACATGATACTTTACATTTCTACAGTAACTGAAATTAATTTGAGGGTGGTAATTTGACTGAAATTCCACAAACATTTGTTGATGTGCATGGCTTGGGCTACTGGTTTAACAGGCCCAGATGCCTCATCCACAGAGCTGTGTTGCTGGGAAATTGTGATGAGAGACACATCACTAAATGTTTTACTTTCTAAAGACTTTATAAGGATTTGGTTACCTGATACGAATTTTGATTGTGTACTTTATGGTTTGGTTCTTTTCATGTTCATTCTTTTATCTGTCTTAATTTTCGTGTAGACATTCAATTTATTTTTCTTAAGATTTTAGGAAGTTTTTTATGCTTGGTGAAAATCTGCTTAGAGAAGTATGTCATGGCATGCAAACACCCCCCCGAAAAAAGAAAAAAAAAAAAAAAAGAGGTGGTTAGCATTAGTTTAGTAGGTAGAGAGAGAATGCTGTTAAGTTTCAAACTGTTCTGATTTCTTTTAAGGTCCATGTAAGTATTTCACAGCTTTACTCTACAGTTCTACACTATAGTGAGCCTGGCAGCACAAAATTCCATTTTTCTTGAATTCTGAATATACCAACATTTATGATACTTCAGTGAACCTAAAATACTCTTGAGGTTTTGTGAACATTTGAAGAAAAATACCAGTAGAAAGTGAAAGTATTACAGCTTTGGTTCATATATCTCTTGATTAAGCTAGCAAGAAATCTCAATGCAGATGGACAAGGTATCTTATCATAGTGACGTTTATCACGGGAATTTATTGAAGTTACTTTAAACAGCTTTGTTGCAATTCACCAACTGAAATTTTATCTGTGATTATGGAATCCTGTGGGTGTATGTGTCATCAAATTAAACTTTAAAAAAAAACTCTTAAATGTGATATCATATGTCAAAGTTATAAATAATTGTGAATTGTAAGGAATTAAGTAACAGCTGGGGATAGCTAAATGAAGAGGAAAACTCAGAAAAGACAAAATCTTTAAACAAATGTTTCGGACAAGATTTAGTTTGTCCTGCTCTGATTGACCTGACTGCTACCAATGGATCCACATATACACAGATGGTCTACTCCTCTACTCTACAAAAGGCCAGAAACAAAGAGTTCCTGTTAGGGAACATTCCTCAATGTTTTCTGTAACATGAATTTCACCCAAATAAATTACAGGTCATGACAGGCAAGTGCTAGTGGTATTAGGAAGACAATTAAATGAACACTTGTGTAGAATCGTGTGTATATAACCACAAGCTTTTATATTGCACTTTTAGAGAAGTCTGATATATCCTTTTAGTACAAAAAGGATTAATTTAACTGGAGTTGAAATGTTACTTATATAATTTGAAAACAATTATACATTATTCTATTACTTGTCTAACAGAAATGTTGTGGAACCAATTTTTTTATTCCCTTGCTTAGTAGTTCTAATAACACCAGTTTTACAACATCCTTAGTACCTAGGAAATTTCATTATAATAGTTTTGTTCAATACAGAAGCTTCATGTTGTATATGATTGTAATTGTAGAATAACAGGGAGAACTACTATAGGATGTGTGTGTAAACACAATTCTTAAACACATATTTAGGAACTATAGATTCCTAGGTATCAGGTCAGCTATCAGCTTTTGATGTGCCACGATACTCAATGATCTCTTCTTTCTGATAACTACAGTGAGAGCAAGAGTTGTATGTCAATTCATGACTGAATTTTCAGTGACAACTGAAATCTCAGTTTTGTCAACTCCAGAGTTTCTCTGCAGAGCTGATACTTGAAAGGTACATGACCCAGAGGACAGCATCTTAACAGCAAGGGTTTGGAGTCTGTTGGGAAAATACTGGGCAAATGAAGAGATTAGGGTTAAGCCCAACATAAAATACTGGAAATGCCTTCCTTTATAACGGTCATCTCTCCTTGCATTTTCAGTAGGTGTTCTAAATTAGGAGTATAAAGTTAAATTTTTAAGAAAACTTGGTTAAAAATACAGTCACAATACAGTTATTAAAAAAAAAAAAAAAAAACAGTCTTTCCTGGATCCATCTGTGACTGACAGGTGATTTCTGAGCCAGCTGAGTTATTAAGTGCTTCCTGTGTAATAGCAGATGGTGCAATTTATGAAGGCCACTTGGGTCTTCAACAAAGCTACTGTTGTTAATTGAATGAATGTGAAAGCTCTTTTGGAGAACAGTGTGATTTTAGTAACAGAGATTTTTTGCATGTACTCCGTCGGTAGAAATATGTGCCATATTCTGTAAAAAGAGGAGTATTAGTGCGATATAACGAGCTCCCTTAATTATGTGTCTGTGCCTGTGCAGATAGAGTTGTTTCCCTTGTTCTTGTCAAGCCTGGGAGCTGGCAGAACCGATTCTCTGTCTCCCTGCCGAGCTAGTTCTGATTTTCCAGCTCAGTGGGCTGCAGATGTGTTTTGCTGTGCGATGTACTGCAGCCACAGGAGGGCAGCGGCCGCTCACGTTGTGTGTGGTACCCGTAACCGCCCGTACCCTACGGGAAGTACTGCTCGCAGCAGGACCTTGGGTCAGCTCCGCTGGACAGCTTGCAGCATGCACCTAGACCAAGTAGAGCAGTGCATGCCCTTCGTCTAAAAGTAATTGAATTAATCTTTAATTGTTGCCTGTACCTGTGGTAATGAATCATGCTAATTATAATAGTATAAAGTATTTTATACTTTTTGTTTTGTTTTATGTTATTTACTTACATGTTTAAAGATTCTCATTACAGTGAGGCAGGGGAAGCATCTCTGGGTTTTCTAAGTTGGTTTGTCATGCATAGCTGCTTTACATGCCGTTAAGGTGTTGACCTAAATCTACAGAATTAGTTGTCCTCTTGCTTCCCTTCTGGCTCGTTTTGTATTTGCACTTTTGCAGCTTCAGCTGTCTTGGCAAGGGGGTGGCATTATCCTAGCATAGTTTAGTCCCATTATATAGTTTATTGTTTCTCCCTGGCATTATACTGAATAAGTAATAAACACTGATTAGTAAACACTCACTTAGAATGCTAATACATATTTGAGAGAGAGCTAGATCATAAAGCAGAAAAGCTTTCAAACAAATAGAGTGGCATTACAGGCAATTACTTATGGCTTGATGCTTGCGGATTTAGAGTTTTGCTCTAGGGTGTAGCTCTAGGTTCTGTTCTGACTTTTCTATTACCTTCAACTGTGTGCTTGGACAAGTACCTAATTGTTTTTAATCTTCATTATGCTACATATGAAATTTTCCAGTGTTGCCCAGAGTTATTAAATGATCTAGTGTCTACTGTGGAATGTTCTGCCATAGGAAATTGTTGAGCCTAAAACATAACAAGATTTTTAAATGACTATATGGGAAGCAGAAGCACCAAGGATTAAATAGTTACTCATAAAATAAGAAAATTTTGTTAAATTTGTTTTAGGGTTTGAGGCCATGTCTGGTCATAGGGAATTGTAAGGATTATACATGCTGAAACAGCAACCCTACAGCTTCATGGTAGAGAATCTCTCTCTGAAGCATTAATTGTTTGTCACAAGCTACCTGATCATATTTTTGCATTATTTTGTAATGAAATAACTTGTGATTGATGTTTCTCTGAAACTTGAACTTCAACAAGAAGTTCTGGGATAATAAGAAAGGCAATGCTAACATAAATACAACGAACTAAACAGCTAAAATATTCACTTACTGCATTGGTATCCAGTAAACAAAAGAGATGAATTATGGTTTTCCTCTTTCATTCTATGATTAGTGCTGCTTTTTAATCTGACAGAGTAACTGGCATTCAGTGGTCCTTAGATATCATAATTTACATTGCTATTACTCTATACTGAATATTTTGTGCAAGTGCTTTTACTTTTCCTTCTGGATCATGTAATTTAGTAAATGATCTGTGCATTGAAAATTTTACTTTTTTTGTGTGTGTGTGTGTTTTTGTCAGTATGCGCAAGATGGGGATTAACTGTTGTGGAGCCATTTTTGGTTGGTTGGTTGGTTGGTTTATTGGTTTTCTAGAAAGATAACAGGCTTTTTCATGTGTCAGCACTGGCAGCCATAAGAGTCTACTGTGTCCTCAGGTGCACCAAGCACAGCATAGCTAGCTAGTTGAGGAAGGTGGTTGTCCCACTCTGCACTGCACTGGGGTGGCCCCACTTCAGCCCTGTGTGCAGTTTTGGGCCCCTCAATGTAAGAAGAACATCAGACTATTAGAGTGTGTCCAGAGCAGGGGATCAAGATGGTGAAAGGTCTCAAGGGCAAGACTTTAAAGTGACTGAGGTCACTTGGCTTGTTCAGCTTGGCAAAGGGAAGGCTGAAGGGTGACCTCATCACAGTCTAGAACCTCCTCAAAGTGAGGGGGCAACAAAAGAGGAAGTGATGATCTCTTCTCTCTCGTGACCAGCAACTGGACACTGGGCCACAAGGAAATGGAATGAACCTGTGTCAGGGAAAGTTCAGATCCGACATGAAGAAAAGGTTCTTCACTGAGGGGGTGGTTGGTCACTAGAAGAGGCTCCCTGGGAAAGTGGTTATGGCACCAACCTGTCAGAGTTCATGGAGCATCTGCATGTTACTCTCAGTCATATGGTTAAATTTTAGGTAGTCCTATGAGGAGCAGGGTGTTGGACCTGATGGTCCTTATGGGTCCCTCCCAACTTGAGATAGTCTATGATTCTATGTATTCTTTATACACAGTCTGTACTAGAATATTTTTCTGTTTTTGCTTTTTAGGTGCCTTATCAGGAGCCAGAGAAAGCTGGGAGTATGACTCAGGAGCAAGAGACCTTCAGAGTCCAGATATTCAGAGTCAATTTACACCACAGAAGATGTTCAAGTATGGTGGAAGCAATGTGACTCAACAGGCTGCTCTGCAAAAACTTCTAGCTCAGGCCTCAAATTTTAGCAGCTCCGTTGGAGGAAGCTACTTGGAACTTGCCAACACTGTAAGTGCATTTTGCCTCTGCTTGTAACTTTTGTAGAACTTTTTACTTGTTCTTGTTTTCTAAAAAGCATCAGTTTCAGTCTTAGAGGTTTTGAGCCCTCATGTAAACAATGCCATGCTGCTGTTGTCTTATTTACCAGAACATCAATATGGTTTTAGCAGTTGGTAGTTGTATCATATTTTCAAAGCTCCTCAAAAAGAGTTGCAGTCTGTAAGGAGCCAAACTGAAGTTCTTAATTTATACAATTTGACAGAAGAGTCATGTCTAAAAGCTCCCTACCAATTAATTTAAGTGTGGTGTCAGATTGTTCAGAAGTATCGTTCAGAAAAGTTATTCCCATGTTATTTTTTTACTGCCCACTGAATTCGTTGTTAATTATTTCAAACTCTTGGTGTGCTAGTGCTGTGCTTTTATATTTCTACACGAAGGAAGTGTTCTTTGTTGTAAAAACCTATGTAAATTATGAAGGAGTAGGGCATTATTTTTTTCTTCTGCATCAGTGTATTGGGATCAGTGTTGTGTTTTAATTTTAATACAGGCATGTTATAGAAGACAGCATTTTGCAGCACGTTTCTAATGTGTGTTGCACAAGAGTTTAAGTGGAGAAGTAAAAGATGCTAACATGAAAGTTTCTAGTTTCTAAAATTACTGTTTATTGGCACACTTGACTTCAGTGAAATATACTCCTAGTTCATAGTATCACAGGATAAATCAAGCTGTAAGAGTACCTCAGGAGATCATCCAGTCCAACACCCTGCTCAAGACTTATTGTCTGCTGGAAGTGATTGATGGCACAAGAAGAAAATCAACTTCTTCAAGCTGCGTTATTTGAAAAAAAAAATTATAAAAAATAATTGAAAGTGTTTTCCAAAGCCTTTCAAGTTTTGTACATATTCCCAAATGTGAGCTGATATAGGACCTAAAGTTCCCATACACAGAGTAAAATATGTAGATATTAAAACTCATCTAAGGGAGAAAAGAGTTCAGGCAGGTTGAGAGTTCCTTAGAAGATTTGTTGCTTCATTTTCCCTAGGAAAGATAGTAAGGGATATAACAGTAATAAACCATCAACTCTTTGAGTTTCAGAACTGGAGAGGAGCATATGGAAACTGGGAAGAGTGGAAAATTAGCAGGCAAACATGTTATAAAGAGGGTCAGATGGAGGACCTGGGAAATCACAGGCCAGTTGACAGCTTTTTTTTATACATTCCCGTAGTTTTGTGGGACTGTAAGCAATTTTAGGTGAGTAAGAGAGGTTGTGTAGATCAATCATGTCCCTCCAAACTAACATCTCTTTTAACAGAGTAGGCCTTGGAGCTAGACGAGTAACCACAGATGTCGTGTTTCTTAAGTGAGACATCTGATCCTGCCTTGAGTAACGTTGTTATCAGGAAGGCAAGAAACCTCATCTAAATGTGACTACTAATAGGTGGATATTGAACTGGTTTGAAAATTGTGAGGCATGTTTTTTTAAATGTTTCCCGAGCTCTATTCTGTCGTGTGTTCTCTGACTGGTGTGAAAACACTGCCAAACTCAAATCAAACTATATTGGTAAAAGAAGTACTTCCCCACAGTGAAAACTGCTCTCACAATAATCCATTAAAAAGTTGCAAGCTTAGGTCTGAAAAAGACAGTGAGTGAATCAGCATACCATTTTGTGCTCAATTACAAGAGTTCCATAGGATTGACTTGCTTAGAAATTACCGTTTTGGAAAGACAGGATCTTATTTTAAAGGATGTAGAATGGATTTCAGCAGAAGCTTGACTAGAAGTGCTTAAGACAAATATAGCTGTGCAAAAGGAATAGCTTGCATGCTTTTGTTTCTGGATTAGGAACTGTGAGTTGCTGGGTCCTTTATGGGTCTGGAGTTTGTTCAGGTTTCAAGGCAGCTGTGTACTAATAGGTGCTCTGTCTATGCTCCTGACTGATAGTGGTTCAGAAATGATGGGCTTTGGTAACCTGTTGTACATTTGGAAATACAAAGATGCAGGTGTGCACTGTTATTGAAGAATACACAGTGTGAAGGTGTGAAGGTGTGAAGGCTACCACACTGCTATGACATGTAGAAGTCATAAAAATAAAAATGCTGAAGGCTTATGAGAAATGAAGATCCCCAGGTTTTATCTCTCTCTTTTTATTCCCATCTCTAAATTCCTTCCATGCAAAATGCCTGATCTCTGTTTTCACAAGCATCTATTATACTTCTGCTTTTAAATATTCTATGTACTTTCAAACCATAGTAGAATCAACAGTCTCTCATTTATATGTAGATGAGTACAATAACATCTTCATTTGACTCCTGCTGAGCATTGGTGTCATGGGTCATATGTAAATTTTTGCTTTGGCTTTATTAAAATGGAGAGAGAAGGGAATGAGAGAAAATGGAGAGAATGGTTTACTTTGTTTTGCACTATTTCCATTTATTCCCTTTACACAGTTTTTAGTACTGAGGGACATGATTACTGCAGAACACATTTGGAGTCTTTAAGGAGATAATCCCAGCCTTATTAGAGTTGTGATTTAACATGGATACTTCCTTCTTTGTCTCTTTCTCAGATTGTTTTACCTAACTGCATTTACAACAATGACAAGCCAAGCTGCTCCCTTGCATTCATTCTCTGAAATGACAGATCTCAGCTTTCAGTTTTATGGGTTGAGTCCAGTGAAATTTTCCTGTTTTACACAAGGAGCTGGGCAGAATCCTTTGTACTGTAATGAGGATTACTTAAAAAAAATAAAATTCTTCCCTTTGGGAGTTGATGGTATTTCTCTTTATAAAGCTGTGTAATAGAAGGACAAAGATCTAAAGCAGGCTCTGGGTAGAGATTTCTCTGAAACTCTAAATGCTCCTAAAGTTAAACCAGAGAGGTTTATCTTCTTCAGAACATTTACAGAAAGCTTCTCTGCATCCTCCTGCTCCCAGATGAGCAGCTCCTGGCAGCTTCTCCAAAATGCATCTATGCAAGCCATATGGACACACTCTTGAAAGCAGTGTTTTTTGCATTTCTTTGTAGATGTTTAGACTTCAGGCTCAGAGGTCTAAAAAAGTAACTATTGTATGGGTGAACGTGAATAAGGCACTTTCTGGTTAGAGGTCATGTGATTGGTTTTTCCCTTAACACCTTGAAGAGCTTTTCCCTATTGGAGTGTCAATCCTTGTTGCTTAATTTCCTGGTTTTCTTTCTGACAGCCTTCTTTTGATTTTAAACTGTGCAGTCAGGCTAAAGACATCCCTATGGTGATTATATACTTCTACAGCACAGATTATAACCCTCAGTCAATACAGACGGTCTCCATGCTGTGTCTAACATTTAAGTTTTGCATTTGCAAAAGCTAAATGAACATCAATCCACTATCACTTTCCTTAGGTTTTATAAAGTGAATTTTTAAGTGACTCTTTTAATGTATTTTTTAAATCCTGTAAACTTTACAGAGCTCTATAGAAACATAATACCTGCTGTGAAGCACTATTCCTATTCCTTCACAGAGGCAATGCAATTTTTTAACAGTGCTGTCTGAAATTTAACCATTCATACTTAATGTATATGTTTTTATCTGTGCATTTCATGTACCTTTGCTCTGTTTTGGTTTATTAATGCACGTTCAGATTCTTTTGTTTTGCTTTTGGTTTACCTGGATAATTTATTCTGTAGTCTTTATATGTGTAACTCTTTTGGTGGTTTTCAGATTCACATTTTTACACCTAAACGTTAAGAATACATTTCTCTTTATACCTTTTCACCTTGATACCAATATCTGTGACTAATATATTAACCTTTAACTTGACCTGTCATCACTTACGTGATGTACTTGTTTGTGCCAGTAGGTTAAATACCACAGAAAAGATCTCTGATGGGAACCTTTGTATGTGTTCCAAATGTAATAATTTATAAGCTTAGTTGCTTTTCCATTGGGATGTAAGTAATTTAAATATTCTTCATGGATATAAAATAATTAAAACATTTCAAAGGATTTCTTTGTGCCTGTGCGTGTTTGGGAGTTGTTTTTTATTTGTACTTGAATCTTCAAAGTTCAACAAGAATCACTCATGTGGATAGTCATATAACTGCAGTGAAATAGCTGATTTGTGTGGTGTCACATCTGTTCACCTCCCAGGTGACCATGCAATCTTGATATGTTCCCTGTGGTGCTATCAGGAGGGACAGCACTCTGTTGCAGGAGCTGAAGTAATGCTGTTATCCAAAAACATTGCACAGGGCAGCGTCTCAATGTGATAGGCATATTTCACATTAGAATTCCAGTGAAGTTTAATAAGGTGAAGCAACAAGGTTAGGATATGTTTAATTCCCTTTTCATGCTCTCCTTGCATGTGATTAAGATAGACTAGATTAACTTGATTTGTTTCTTTTTAGTAGAATGTGCACATATAAATGGTAATACATGTCTTTGTGCTTACTGCTAGTTTCTGTTGCCTTAGTTCAGTGCTGGTTTGAGATGAATCTATTTGTTGTCACAAGTAGCTACATTTATACAAGAAAAAAACAGCTGGGATGGTTTCATTTGCCATGATGATATGAGCTCATACTGCTGTTCTTTTAGCAGTAAATAATTGTGGTTTCCTGAGGAATTCTCTGCCAAAGATCCTACATTTTTAAAATGTGACCCCAAGTAAGTTGGTACTTTTTTGGGTTTTTAACTGTCCAGTCCCTAGACTGGTGTGATACAGGATCCTTTAATTTCTGATTTTTCTCCGCGAAGACACTCCATCTTTACTGGAAGCTCTTTGACTGCACCTTCCTTGCCAGAGCTATCTTGGTTGCAAACGTTGAGAAAGATTCAGTGAGGATATGCTTGGCTTGCAGAGGGGAAGAGGACAGCTAATAGAGCGTGGAAGGATTTTTTCACAGCCGTTTGCTTTTAGGAGCTTGTGTTGCTATTTACTTCTCAAAGCAGCCATGCGAGTGCCACAAGTGTCGTTGTTCTTAATAACTCAGAGAGAAGGGCATATTTACAGAGCTGCCATCATTATGTCCTGCA